CTTGCGAAGAGGGAGGAGGGAGGGAGGGAGGGAAGGTGGGAGGAAGACAAGGAGGAGGAGAGGGGAGGTGGGGAGGGGAGGGGGGGGGAGGGGGGGGGCTTCGACCTGAAAGATCAGGGGTTAGGATTTGCACCCGATCGAAAGAAACCTTGCTATCGCAAGAGTAACTCCAGCTAGCTTCGCTAGCTTTCGTGAAAAGGAAGTCGAATCCCGAGAAACAAATTAACGAAACGTAACACAACGAAAGCAAACCACGCAAACTCAACCTGCGCATGCTTGAACCCAAAAACTCGGACTGAATGGTGCAATGACCCTCATGTTGCCGCAAACACAAAAAGCAGAAACAACATGAAACAACAACTCCGCACATGCTAACAAAAACATCAACATCGTTCATTATTGCCCCGCCAACCTCCTGACCCCCAACCTCCCCACCCCCGAAAATCAGTTCTCGGGCAGCCAGGGCGCCAAGAACCACTAACTACTGCTTCAACTTGCTTCAATAATGCAACTGATATTGGGCCGCACCCAAACCGAAAGAATGAAAATTGAACGTAACCGAACCAAAACATATTGCATGCATGCAAAACGAGCTGACAAGGATCGCAAACCAAACCAAGCCGCATCGCTTCAACAATGGTGGACTCAACTATAGACAGAAACCTGTCTGTCTTTGTCTTTTTACAGGAGGAAAAGGAAACGGTTTCTAGAAAATGTCGCCGCGCCACCTTCAGTTTTCTTTCCATAGGGCCACGCAGCTGGCCCGCCCACGCAACACGCCTGGATTCACAGGGAAAAGATTGAAGGAAGTATATACTCTGAATCAGAAAGCGGCTGCGGCCTGGAGTCTGATGGGAGCAGCTCTTTACCTGAACAGGTGAACCGCGAAGCCGGTGCTCTCGCGGTATGCTATTGATACTTCGAGGCACTTGGACCAAGGCCACACCTAAACAAAACTCTTCTGTTTGACCGAGCCAAAACAAATTTGGCCAAGCAGCAACTGGCAGCTCCTGGCCCCAAAAGCAATGCGGCTACCAAAAATGCAGCTCCCAAAAGGGCCTCGGATGTCTCGCTGGTCTGTGCATGAATGGAGGCGTCGGCAAGTACAGTGGCCCATGAGCTTCACAACGCAATACTATCATCCAGTAGCACCTAATGCGACAAGGAGCTGATACCATTCCAAGCCGCTTAATTCTTTGCCACTTGTTCTTCTCCTGAAGAAAGCATCTGAACCCTATTCACAGTCAACCCCAAACTTGAACGTCTTCTTTTTATAGATTGGGGTCATTCCCTCTCCTCCTGCTCTTGTAGCTCATTCTCCGGGTGCTCCTGGCAATTGCACAGGCAGGAATGAACCCTGTTTGCGGAGAAACAAACGCAAAAGCACTCTTGCCATGTGCCTCTTGGGCAACCAGTCTGTGCTTGTTGGCCATATCCTTGGCTAGGTGGAGACACGAGAAGGAACCCAATAGCAAAAGGAACCTAATAGCGATGGCCTCCAACCGTATGGCAAAAGGATACATCGCCTATTAACTTGCCAAAATCTCACCTTCGCGACAATAAGACAATAAGACAGGCTAATCGGCAGAAAGCATCGATGGAATAATGGAATATGTGTAGGGGTTCAAAGGCCACAAACGACACCTGTTCCGTCCAAGAGTCTGCATGATGGCAACGAGTTGAGGGGGCTTCGCCGCTCACTCGCAAAATTGGCGACTGATGCTAGGAGTTTCGCAACAGGAAGGATGTGGAAACATGCGCGGCAACGATCAAGCACCAAGCACACGTTGGTGGCCAAACAACTAGGCTGGCTGGTTCGCTTGGGGGCTAAATTCAGCCCTTACACGCCCTCACAACCTTTAGACACGGTTCACCAACCTGTCACACGGCCATCAGAGGCAATCACAGAAACTTGCTGCCCAGCAATTGTTTTCGCCATAACACTAACTGTCATGAGGCAGAAATAAGAGACTGCGATGGATTTGTTACAAAATGTCCCTGACCAGTGACAAACGAAACAAATTGCTCACTTCCGTGCTTGGCAGGCTTTTTCTCTGAACCTACTTGATCCGAGCAGTCGTGATGGGCAGTCCTGGGCGAGTCACCCACGGGAAGAGTCACATTTCTTTAGCCGTTGTCCAAAATCGTCTCAAAGTCAACGAGTTGTAAACTGGGACTTCTAGCTGCAAAGCTTTTCCACACTGGACATCGCACTCCAATTCCCAAAATAGTGTTTCCTTACTTGTTCCCATGTGAGTCTGTGAGTCGGAGTCTCTCCAAGCAATCTTCATCAATCACAGTGAAAGCTTTAGAAACACCTGGTGCAGGCCTTCAGATTGCCCGTTGCCAGGGCGACGGCCGAGCAATCGGCCCTCAGTCGACGAAGCATGTCTTGCGCCGTCGGCCCTTGGAGAAGGCAGTCCGGTTCAATCGGGTTCAACACTATACACCGTCCAACCTACTAGCGATGGCCTCCAACCTACTAGCGATGGCCTCAGACCTATTAATAGCGATGGCCTCCAACCTACTAAATAGCGATGGCCTTCAACAGTGCGATGGCCTCCAACCTATTAGCGATGGCCTCCAAATTAAGAGCGATGGCCTCCAACCTAGTAGCGTACTAAGTATATATTATATAAATATATACAGTATATACCGTCCCGCGTGGTGTCCAAATCTGCTGACCTGGTGGGCTTTGGTCTTCAACTCTTGTGATCTCATGGGCGGGCCACAGAGAAAAGGAAGAAAAAGTTCTGGGAAACGAACAGACGAGAGTGGAGTGGTCCACCATGGTCCACCATCCACAGTTCTCGTCACTTCCACCGGGTCACCAGTTCTCCAGCTCGTCCAAGCTCTTTGGCCATCACCGCCAAATTGTTGAGGCAATGCCTCGGTGCGACCGGAAGCCAAGCAGGTCTCGACCTGGCCAACCAAAGCCTGGACCACTGGGTGAACAGTCAAACCAAACGTGTGATGATCCTGTCACTGTGGTGTGCCTCCGCGCAACTGGAATGCTTAAGCTGTGGAAACTGAAGCCAAGTTTGTGGTGCGTCTCCCATGTCCGCTTTCATCCCTATGGCCCGTGCAGAGTTGTAGGGTGCTTTGGCCCCAATGTGGACTCGGCAATCCTGGCGTTGGGCACGGCAGGCCACAAGCTTTCAAACATGTTGTCCCAGAAGCGGTTCGAGCGAGTGGAACACAGGTGTCTTACAATGTTACCGCCTTTGGAGCGGTCACAGAGCCAAGTGCTAGACCCTTTATCTCGTCTTGACCAAAGCAGGCATGTCACATGCCGGCACCACAACAAGGCCCGCCGATACAAATCTTCAGCCTCTGACTGGCTTCCATCCTGAAGCTTCAATACAGCTTTGAAGGTTCACGCTGTGCAAACAATGTTTGTCATCCACCACTACCTTTTTGGACAGTCACCCCAGCTGCCAGAACCAGGCCTTCCAAAGTGAGTAAGCAAGATTGATCATTGACCTCAGTTCACATCACATGGTCTCACACTCTCCAAGATGCGTTTTAGCCGTTTCTCTTCCACAGTATATTCCGATGTTTATGAATTTCTTTTACAAAGCTAAAACACCTGACCCGTCATTTCGACGTTTTAACCTTTAAGGAGTTGACGAGACAGTCTCCGGGTGTGACACCCCGTAGTACGCCTGAAAGATCTGAAAGTGCTTCTCGATGAAACACATGGTGCAAGCATCACAAACAACAAAAACATGGTCTCACGCACGAAGCCATGAAAACGGAAACCAGCTTCTGTGGGCTCGTCTATGCACATCATTTGAATTTTTCAGTGAAGCTTGCGGGAATTCGAGCAAAGGCCTGCTTTCCTTTCAGAGCCAGGCGGTACAGCTCCTGCTCGTTCGCTAAGTGCGGACATGACACTTGCAAACCATTGCAAACTCCCTAGACTGCAGCGTCGAATGCATGAGGTTTCTGCTAGGTGTTTGCAGCTGTTCTAGCCATGAGGCAAGTTGATGTGCCGAGCTTAGAAATGCATATATATATATATATAAATGAGGCATAGAGCAGGCACACTGAACTTGCTGCCCAAAGTGTAACGGTGGCCTGAGCATCTTTGGGGCGACACTGCCCCACCACAGTGGCAAGCCTGCTGCGATTGCTGGTGAACACAACAGTGCACCTGCATTGTGATGTCTCAACGTGCTTGTTGGGCCAAGTTACTCGCAAAGGGAGCGCAAGGTTGTGGGGTGGTTCTGCCTCAAGAAAGCTGGACTCAAATTCCTGCAGTAGGCGTGGACTATCTTTGGGATTGTTGTCATCTTGACTTTGAAGGAGAACTGGGTCCAGTGGGTCCTGTAAGTCCTGTGAGTCCACAATCCGGCACTGGGACTCAGGCCCCAAAGTCTGACTTCTGCCATTCCAAACTCTGCGAAAATTCATCTCCGCATCAACCTTGAACTCTGAACTAGTTGCTGCTTCACAGCTTAGAGTGCAGAACAAGTTCGGTCGGTTGCAGAATTGAAATGAGTGCAAGGCATGAAGGCCTGCATGACGGCACACCGCAGCCAGATTGTGCCTTGCAAGAAGGTGGCCAACAAACCACAGACAAACCAGGTGCTTCGGCGAGGTAACACCGTCTGTCCGATGGACCGCTACGTCGCTCAGATCCAAACTGCAATCGTAGGCTCTCTGGATGCAAGTGACCAGACCTGAGAGTACCCGTGCCACTCATGTCCACAAAATATCACGATGCTTGGTGCAAATTATGATGGCAAAATGCATTTCGAAGCTAGTTTGGAAGGTGGCACATCCAATTCCTAGCATGTGTGTATATATATATATATATAGCAAGAAGTTGCTGTTTCAACACATCTCTTGCTCGGCAAAAGTTTTCTCCACAAGAGCTGTTCAAGAGTCAAGAGCTGTTCAAGAGTCAATGTGGTTCGCTTTCAAAAGTCACAGCACTTGCTGAAACTTCCAAGTTCCCATCACCCCATCAGTCTTTGGATGGAGATCCCAGGGGTTCAAAACGCGGCACTCACTCCTGCTGCAGCGTAGACGAGCCCGGTCTCACTCAACGCTCCTTGACTGTCGTAAAGCCACGAGGTACCGAACTTGGAGTCGTGCCAGGCGTAGCGTTCCACCATCTCGTGACTCTCCATCCAAGGGATCACTTCCTCAGTCCACAAGGGAGAAAAATAGCACTGGATCATCGCGGAACGAAAGCTGGACCATGTTTGCCACTTTTTGACTTGTTTGTTGCACCCACCATCAAAATTGACTCAGCACTACCCACAACATCCTCGGGTCGTGTCGGGTCGTCTCAGGTTGGGTCGGAATAAGCATGTGTGGGGGGGGGGGGCGGGGGGGGGGTCAACACACCGATTGCACCAATGAACTGTTGCTCAACGCTACTAGGTTGGAGGCCATCGCTGTTAGGTTGGAGGCCATTGCCATTAAACATCTACAACTCAAAGACCCAACACCACAAACACACATGCACAGTGGGTCGGTCTCGATGGGTTGCTTGAAAGTCCGCCAAGCATCGTTGATGAAGTTGTTGACCTCTTCCTGGCTCCATTTACTTGGATTAGAGCCGCCTTCTGCAATCGTTTGAGGAGCAAACTCAGTGATCCAAATAGGCTTCTGGTAGGTATCAATGATCTCCTGTTCCGGGGATGATAGATGCCCTTATGAAAAGTGCACCTTTTGCCTTTAAAGCATGGTCTTCATAATATGTAAACCAGCCTGCATGTCACTTTTAAACTTCTCCGGCTTGGCTCCCTTGTACCAGTGCACACACACGAAATCCACATGAGGCTCTGCGGCCATAAACTCGGGGAACCATGAGCCCGTGACCGGGTTGCCCGCGGTGGCGGGCGAACCCAGTCGTCCATTGCTGGGGACTTTGGCTTCGACTTCAGGCCACAAGCTCAGTGCTTCAGCCACGCTCATATTGGCCTCCAAAACGCTCCGGAGACCGAAGGTCGCCGAAGGGCCTTAAGATGCCTACTAGGAACAAGGGCATCGCGGCATCGCTACTAGTAGCTCCTGGCATTACGACTAGGAACAAGAAGCTACTAGTAACACGTTTTCCCCTAAGCATCCCTAAGCCCTATGCAGCTTCGTCTTTAATTAAGTGGCCTTCAGCGGACCCATCATAGCCGACAGGAAAAGAGAAGAGCCAAGAGCGACGATTGATTGACCACATACCGCATACCCGTGAAACAGTTCGTAAGCTTCCGACAAAAAAGACTCGATTGAACTTAAAACATCTTGAACTTCTGACAAAGTAGAGTGAAACTTCCTAAATTGGTCAATGCTAGCTGCTAGTGTATGCTTATGGCTTATGCGAATCTGTAGGTATGTCGGCGTCCACCAATCAAGACTCATCAATTCATGCCAGTCTGCACCTGGTCCTCATGATCTGGCTCATTAAAGCCCAGCAGCTCATGGCTGCCAGAGGCAGGGTTCCATTGAAGGTACTTGGCATTTTGCATGATCGGCACAAACTCCACATCATCAGGCACATCGATCTTGGGTTTTAATCCCCAAGAGTAAAACCACGAAACATTCAACGCATGTAGCTGTGTAGCTCCATAGCCCGTGGACGAAGGAAGTCCAACACCTTTCTTCGTCGCAACGAGTAATCGGGACTGGGACAGGGATCGAGTGCGTTTGCGCTGTTCTTGTAACAAGCAGGCCCCTCGAGCCGGTTGGGATTCACACTGCTCCTCCGCCGCCACATTCACCAAGACAGCTACCCACAGAACGCGCAAAGCCATGCCGCAAGGCTATTGGATGGACGGGTAAGGTGGTCTGAAATGACTGCAAGTCAAGACCAGAGCAGAAAGACTGAAACTCAACATTTACCTACATTTACTTTGTTCAACTTTGCGCCGGGCCCGGATATATTTGGAGAGTTTTGTTTTATTGCGTCTTTGTTTGCTGATGCTGGGATGGCCGAAAATGCCGATTTTGTGGCAAACGCAGCACTTTGTGAAACGCGAGGCGCTGATCTTAGCATCCAGGTCTCATATCATCAATTGGCTGAATCCTGGTGGCCCCTAACATCCACCGTTGTGGGGTTGCGCTGGCTTTATGTCTACATTCTCAAGGCTACATATAACTTAGCGACTATATCAAAGTTTTCAACCTGAGAAGGGAGAAAACGGAAGCCAGCCTTGTGAAGAAGACATCAATGTGGTTATTATGGGGGGTGAGTTCGACAGCGCACTGGGGTTGCTCTCAGGCATGGGGAAATAGAAGCCAGAGAGGTGGAAAGTCTGGGCCAATATTACAGTAGATAGAAGTGGAGTCCATGCGTTAGGAGAAAGGTTAAGTGAGCAGGACATTTACAGTCCGGCGGGATAAAGGTTGAATTGGGCAGGACATTTGCAGGTCGGGGGGGCGCCCTTTTGTTTTGGCTTAGGGGCGTGCTGCTAAGAATGGTGCAGTCTAAACTTTACTGCCAAGCTCACGTGATTGCCTAACATCGAGCAAAGCTTACTTGTAGTCTAAGTTTTACGGCTAAGATCGAACACAAAGATTACTGGCGTTATGGGGTGAAGTCATGTTGAATACAAAATCTGTTCAATCATCAACATGTACTGCGCTGGGCCTACAACGCTTATGATATATACATACACTGCTGTGACGGACATTACTGATACAGCCTACATCCCTGTCTTCTCCGTTTCTTCTCTCTCTCTCTCTCTCGCTCTCTCTCCAATCAATCATTAAAGCATCACAAAGGGCTCAGGAGACTATTTGGACAGTCTTTCCACAACAGGTGGGAGATCGGGTAGAGGACAGGAAAGGGGGGGTGCCCCTTCTTATGGTGAAGAGGGCTGTTACTTGGATTAAAAAGGCACCCCTGGGAGCTATAGATGTCCAATGGAGTCGGGCTTTGGTACGGATCGGTAACAGTGGATGGGAGTTGATCCAGGCGTTGTGTATATCGGCTCTAGCCTACCGAGCTTCAAAGCAAGACGCTGCGTCTCTCAGTCCTCTGTTATGCTGTGGTTTATAAGAGTAGAAGGGAATGCAAGAAACGATGTCGCCCCACACTAAGGGGGCTCACCAGGCTAACCGGGTGCGTCCATCCCGGAAGCGGCGAGACTCTGTGCAAGTTAGAATATCCTTCTCATAGAAATAGTGTTCGGACAACTCAGGAGGATATTGCCGGCTTGCGGCTTGATTGTTGCTTGGGGGTGCCCCTTTTTGGGGGCTAAACGGCTGTCAGCCGGATGAACAAAGCGCACCCCTCTCGGCTATAGATGTCTAAGGGAGTCGGACTGTTGCGCGAATGGCAGTCTATCCGCTATCCTATGACAGGTAATGGTGTATGGGAGTTGATCCAGGCGTTGTGCATATAGGCTCGACAATTTGGGTTCACCCTACCCGGCCGGGCCGTCTGTGCGACCACCCCCCCCACACATACCCTATACTCACTTCGCTCGCCCATCGACAACTCCAGCCTCGGCTGGCTTTCGAAAAAAGTTGCGGTTTTAATTGTGTTTTTTGCGGTGGCAGGTGCAACACTTTGTGATCTCGAAAAAAATTGTGACTTGCGCGAGGGAAGGAGCCACTTTACCAGACCCAGAAATTGTAACCTGCTTTGTTCTATGCACTATGTATATTTATATATATTCCTTTCTTCCTCTGAGACTTTTCTCCCTGCCTTGCTTCCTTCCTTCTGTCCTTCCTTGCTTCCTTCCTGCCTGCCTACCTTCCTTCTTTCCTTGAGTACCAACAAGGAGAAAAAAAGAACAAAGAAATGTCCCTCCCTTCGCACCTGCCAAAATGGCTCAGCTACTGAACTTTTCGGCAGCAATTTGTCATCTCTTCAGCTGACTGAGAAGGATACTGAGAGCAAATCCCATCAAATGCTTGGCGGCAGGTCCTCAGACTGCACGGCTCAAATTGGCTCTGAGTAGACACACGTTGCACATATTCCAGGCATTGAATACCTTCCTATCGTTTGTCCCATCAAACATGCCAGCTACGCTGAAGAGCGGGCTGTATGTGGCCGGCCATGAATAGCCTGTTCAAGAGAAGGAAGGAACGCTGTTAATAAGACTCTAAGACGTCCCAAAGGCCTGGGACCGAAGGAGTATGTGTTCAAGATATTTCAAGACACTTTCTGTGCGGAACTTCAGCGTTAACTTCTTGGGCTGCAGGCCCTGCACCATACTCGCCCAAGGATCGCCAAAAGTCCTGTGGCGCCAAGGTTAGTCAGCAATAGCCCTCATGTGCAAGTTTAGACCGGATTGTATCTCTGACAGGCAGCATGAGCGTGTCTTTTCTCCCCGGGCGTTGGTGTTCAGTGTTCATAACTCTACACATCTCCTCAGTACATTGCAACGGCTCACACAACTAAAGCAAATTGCCTCAGCTTTGGCCAAATGCTGTGAGAACATTGGATCACTTGGATCTGGTTCATCTGATCTTGCTCAAGCAGGCATCTCTTCGTGCTTTTCACGCTTTGTCTTCTCATTTCTCTGGCGTCTCCTTGGCCTCTGTGCTCTCCTTTTCTTTACTCTTCTCCGTCTTCTCTTTCATGTACGAATCTAACTCGGTGTCAAGGTTCTCTTTATCAAGGCCATCAGGTTCTTTGCCGAAGTACTTGCTCAATTCCTGGTCAAGTTGTTTGGGGTCAGCCGGCTTGCCATTGCTCTTGCCTTTGCCCTTCCCTTTTCGGACCGACGAAAAGCGGCCACCGCCGCCGCCGCCGCCAAAGTTCCGGAAGGCACCGTCATCCTTCTCCCCAAACATGTCATGCTTCCACCTCCCTCCAGCAGGACCTCGGCGAGGTGACCTTTCGCGCCCTCCGCGCTCATCATGCATGGAGTAGTTATTGTAGCTGCTGTTGTAGCTATTGTAGCCGCCCCCCCCCTTGCCGTAGGATGCATAGCCTTTGCCTCCATACTTTGCCCCCCCCCTTGCCATACTTGCCACCATCTTTGCCCTTCCATCCCTTTCCTTTGCTTTTGCCGTAGCCATAGCCACCATCAAAGTCATCGTAGTAGTCACCACGATCATCCCAAGGCTCACGCCAACTCTTGCCCCCGCCTTTCCCCTTTCCTCCTCCGCCTCCTCCGCCTCCTCCACCCCAAGAGTCTTCATAGGGATCCTGTCTGCCACCCCAAGCACGCATCCCACCGCCCCCACCACCGCCCCCACCATCACCTCGACCGTCTCGCTTGGGCGGCGGTCCTGCCACCATGCCAAAGTCTTCTCTGGCCATATCCTTCGAGAGGAAGATCGCTTGTGTGTTGCACTTCTTGCTCATGGTGGATGGAGCGGCAGCGGCGAGGCGCAAACAGGGCGCTTCGGTGGATTGAGAAGAATCACGTGTTCTTGCAAAGGGTGCTGAGTGGTCCAACTTAGTGTGACTGCGGACTTCGCAAAGCTTGGAGCCTAGTGCTATCCTATCTGAGAGATCATGGAGAAGCCTTGATGTGCGAGCTGCTTTTGGCTCTGAAACAGCCCGTTGAGCCAACTGTGTGGAGATCAGATCCGGAGAATCCTAGCCTCTGACAGAAAGCGCGTCATGCTGACGAAGTATAGTATGGATGAGTGGAAGCCACCTAACCAATTGTCTGTTTCTTGCCAAGAATCCTGTACAGATTTTGCCGAGATGTTTCTGACAGAGGTGAAACGTTGTCAAGTCTGCAGAAGCAAAGCCGCTCTTATGGATGTGCTCTATATATATATATTATATATATATATGACCTTTGACACTAGTAACGCTCACTATTCGTCAGCAGGCCATTTACATATTGACACAAGAATGCACATCCTGCTGAGCCAAGGGATATGGAACACCTCTAGCAGGATCAAAATCCGCACGTGCTCAAACCAAGCCAGAAGCCCAGCCATTGGGGCCTCTATTTGGAAAAACTGCGCCATCTTGGCTAGACCAAGTGCTTTTGACCAGTTTACACCGGCCGCAGGAAACGCTTGCAATCCTTGCAACGTCAAAGTTTCCTCAGTTTCCTCCGCTGATTGCACGAATCAGTGTGCACCAGGGGCGACTGTCCACCATCGGAGTGCACTAACTAATCTTCGTCTCCGCAGGAGCGGGCATGATGGAATCCAATCGATTGATGACAGAAGACACAAACCTGGAAATCGTTCACAAGTACAGCTTGCATTTGGGAATGCTGTGAACCACATCCCAGCAATGTTTGCTCCATATTACAATTTAGTCGAGTGGCACAGATGTTGCATTCGACAAACTTCGTGCCTGTGCTGAGAGCGGGTCTCTGAATGGTGTCTGTCTGCATTGTCCTTGACTTGCAGCCTTTCCCTTTGAAAACAAGAGAATTGAAGATACAAGATTGGTCATGATTGGTCTATCTGATCTTTCTCGCAAATGTTAGCTTTGACTCTTTCTTTATCCACTCATTCCCCAAACTTCCTTGCCTCTTCAAAGAAGTTCCCCATCGATCGGTCAGTGAAGTACCAAGCAGAGGCAGCCAAGACCACAGAAAGCAGGCTTCCTTGACTCTGAATCTGGGATAGCCAGCAAACCAAGCAAAGCATAGATTATGGCATGCAAAACTAGAATAATCAACAGGTGCTGCCACTCATCACTTCCTTCCCACACTCACAGCGAGAAGTTCTACCCATTTTGCAGTTCAGAGGCCCACCAAAGCCACAGCAAAGACTTGTCTCACTATCCTGCGCCATTCAAGCAATTCAACAGGGCAACACAACTTGCAATCATCCGGAATGGGATGTTGAGTGAATTGTGCACAATTCCGCTAACTAAAGGACT